CTTCCTTAGGGTTTCATACTATTAACCTCTTGCCATCTTTAAATATTATTATTGAAGCTGGATACCCCCGAGAATTTCACTTTGTTATCATATAGTTTTTGCCCATAAAGTCTCATTTGGTTTTTCTTCCTAATAGTTTCTTGGCAAAAATCCTCTCTCACCCAAACCTTTTTCCCTCTGAAGGTCAAGTCCTTCTTTTTCAAGGTCTTATATACTTCCTGCTGTAACTTTTCTCTTGTAAATTTGACTATAACGTCTCATGGGGCTCCTCCTTCCCTTCTCCTTTGCAATTTATGGGCTCTTTCAATGTCTTGGGGTTGCATCTTAACCCCATTTTCTTCTATCCATTCTCTAAGTGTTCCTTTTAGAAGCTTATTGTTTATCTCTTCCGAAATCCCTGCAAAGATGAGGTTTGCTCTTCTGTTCCGGTCTGATAGCTCAGTAAGCTGGCTAGTTAGCTGTTCTATCTTCTGTTTGTTTTTTGTAGCCAGCTCATTAGCAGCGTTTGCTGTCTGCTTTGTTTCTTTAAGCTTGGCTGCCAACTCTGTAACAGCCTCTTTTACTTTCCTAATTTCAGCTTTTATCTGTTCCTGAGAAGTTGTCACAATATTTTGGAATGCAGACAGTTGCTCAGAAAGTTCTTTTATAGTCTTGGCCATTACTCTCACTATCTTCCAGTGAGTCTAATAAGAGCTGTGAGTTTGGCCTGGGCGTTGCCTCCTTAAAATAATAATAAATAATTGCTATCTTACCTTCTGAAATCTCAAAGAGGAATTCCTGTGTTCTCCAGAAGTTCATACGTCAATTTCTTCTTTTAGTTATCCTTGAAGGCGGACTAATTACATTCTTTTTGAGCTTTTAAGATAATAATTCTAAGGAGGTGTTGGGCAAGCTGCTGGCTTTCTCAGCGCATGCGTACAACTCCCTCCCTTTTGAAATTTTAAATTAGTAATTTGTCCCATATTTTCAAAGTCCATTGATGTCCACTCGGTCTAGGAGGATTTTTTTTCAAATGTGTGCTATTACTTTCAAGTTATTTCTTGTCACTCTATACCACCAAGGAATATCAGGATCATGTTGTGGAGGCAGGCAATGGCAAATCACCTCTGAACATCTTCTTGCCTTGAAAACCCCACCAGTGTCACCATAAGTCAGTGTGACTTGATGACCAAAAAATCCCTCCCCCAAAAAAACCCTCATCGCTTGGATTTTTTTTTGGTTTTTGGTGGTACCAAATTCCTCAAGCAGCTCTCCGTGTACTTATAATGCTTTGGTTGAATTTGTAAAGCATGAACATTTAAAAATTGTTTCACATGTCAGTATGAAAGGCAACATTTACCATAGCAGCTCCTGACAACAAATAATCGAAAAGTCTGCCGGCAAAGAAGCCTTGGTCACGGTCCTCTGAGAAAGTCCTGCCATGGAGATCTGGCGCGTTTCCAGTGGGGGGGAATTCCATCGTCCAGGGGCGGCCGCTCCAAAGGCCTTTTAAGCAGTTGTGACTGACCCATCCTCGTATGTTGGTGACTCCTGCAAAATGACCTCATTCCTAGGTCTCAGAGGTACCTATGGTAAGCCTCTCCCTGAGATAACCCTCAGCCAGGCTATATATAGTTTTTAAGATTAGCACCAGTGGAGCCATTGGATGGAACAGTAAACCCACACTTCCTTGGCCATATCTGTGCTTATCCTTAATTCTCATATCTCTTCCCTGCTGTATCCCTCCCTGACCCAAAGTGTAGCAAGAGGCGCTGTGGCCCAGTGATAGGGCAAGTGTTTGGCCTGCAGAAGGTCCCAGGTTCAGTCCCCAGCATCTCCAGTTCAAAGTCAGTGTGAGAGACCTGGATGTGAGACCTCGGAGAGAGCACCCGCCAGTCTGAGTAGACAGTACTAACCGGTGCTGGTGTCAGCAGTGGGGCACACGCTGAGGCCATAGTTCCCTCTAAGCTGAGTCGGTGTGAGCTAGCTTTTTTAGATTTTTAGCCTCTGGCTCACAGATTTTTGTCTTAGCTCAGGAAGGATGGCTCCAAAGCAAACTGATTTATGCAGCAGCCAAATCGCTCGCTCACTTTAATGCCAGTAGCTCACAAAGTAGAATTTTTGCTCACAAGACTCCATAGCTTAGAGGGAACATCTCTGCTGTGAAATAATTGTGGATTTTTCTCACACTGCAGGCTTCACACCACAGTGAAGTCAAAAATGGCAACTTTATTTATGCAGGGCTTTTTTTGGTAGAAAAAGCCCAGCAGGAACTCATTAGCATATTAGGCCACACCCCTGACAGCACAGCTCATTACCACATTAGGTTGCACCCCCATGTTACCAGAAGTGTGGTCATCCAGCCACACCCACCTTTTGCTTCTTATTCTGTTTACCTTGTTTGTTGTCAAAACCAAGGGCTTTTTTTGTAGCAGGAACTCCTTTGCATGTTAGGCCACACACCCCTAATGTAGCCAATCCTAATGAGTTTCTGCTGTTGGGTGTGGCCTGTTATGGTAATGAGTTCCTGTTGGGCGTGGTCAACTTGGGAGCCAGCTGGAACTCCGTTCCTGTGCGTTCCTGGCCAAAAATAGCCCTGACTTTATGGTGGTGGACGATAAGTTCTCACCAAAGCCAAGGGACAGTTTGCTCCTCTGTTCACACACATTCCCCCTCTCAGTGGACATCAAGGAGAATTCTTTTTGGAGGTTCTGCATGTCACAGACACAACAGGGAAAAGGTCTCTTAAAATGCGCGTGTCCAAACTGGCTGATCGAATTGCATTTTGAAATAGGTGGTGGTTTTTTTAAAAACACAAACAACTGAGATAATAGTAAAACTGCTATTCTCTGCGGATGAGTCCAGGTAAGTGACCGTTCAGACTCACTGATGTCTCTTGCAGGCCGTGCCCAAGACAGACAGGAGAAGACACAAGCTGAAATGTTAGGCCCACTGCACTCATGATACCGCATGTATTTGAATGAGGTCTAAATCCTAAATAAAAGAGGGAATTTGTTTGATCCTGTCTGTATAGGGCCGCTGTTCTCACTGAAGATAAGCATGAAACAATTTTATCGAAAGAGAAACCCTGCAAGTGAAAAAAAGTTTAAAAAACAACAACCAGTAAATCACAATATGTGTTACATTTTAAACGTCTTACTAATTTTATTCAGCAATTCGCTTTACAATATATCTATTTTTTTTTAAATTTCTCTGGGGAAGACTTATTTCTCAAACTTATTTGTTTTTGCTTTCTGTTCCCCTATTTTATTCCAGGCCGTCCTCGCTGATCTTTCGACTCTGAAAGTCATGCCTCTTCTTCAGATTTTTCTGTTTGCCACCGGGACTTGATCCTCCCTGGAACGCCTGGACTGCAGTGTGCTAGACCTCCGTCGGATGCTAATCGTAAACTATGCAACATCTTAACGAAATCAAATGAAAAGTAGATTGCCATGAATAAGTTGTTTTTTTTTCTCGTCTGCACTTCTTACCTGGGAAAACAAAGGCCCTGAATGCTTCTGAAAATCAAGTCACATGGCTGCATGCTGCTGAATGTGAGCCGAACTACAGCACCTGGACATAATGCAAGTCCCAACACTGCCGATCCACTCAAACGCAGACCCTCTCAAATGCCGCTGGAAGGAAAGACTACTGATTTCTCCATCTAAGCACCACCCTTTTGCTGCTATGAAACTGGAAGGGAGGTCTATTCATCGTTATCCCGTCATTCCATCTGTCATCTTAAAAGTCCTGCAATACTTGAAAAAGAGAAGGATTCAAATTACGCTCCCTGGGAATCTGCCCACGGCAGTACCTTTTTCTTTTCCTCTTTCTTTTTCGTCTTTGGTTTCGTTTGTTCTCGACGGGAGGAGTAACAATAGCCTTTTCTTTTCAAAACAGAAGTCAAAAGTGTTGTGAGAGAGGCACTGTTCCTTGTGTGGTGCGTGGCCCTGTTCTTCCTTCTGTCCCGCTGTTCCCTTTGGCCTGACAGGATTTGCAGGTTTTTGAAGCTCCACCTAAAAATCTGCAAGGCCTGTTTACCTCTGGGACCCACAGAAAGAGAACAGGGGAGGGGAGCTCTCGTGTGTCCTCCCTTCCAGTCTGCGCAAGCAAGGGATCCGTCCCCACTCTCCATCTCCTCCTTCCCGACTCTCCCAACCACAGCATGTTGCAAAGCTGTACGTCCTCTGCAAAGCGGCCTGGGCGCACAGCTTCCTTCAGAACCCTTTTTCTGTACGGGAGCCAAAGCAGTTGCTTGTGCCTGACGTCAGGAGCCCCCGCTTTCTCTCCCTCGACTCCCAACTCCTCTCGAGCAGCTGAATGTGCTGCCTCTGCCCGTTCCCCAGCCCCGGCTGGCCTACCAACTCGTGTGTCAACTCGAGGAGGAGCCTGGGCTCGTATTCCGGCGTGACTCGAGTCGCACTGCTCCTAGGCAGGCAGATGATCTCGCACTGGTGCGTCACTGAGGGTTTCTTTTCCCTCTGGGGATTTCACTAAAGCCTCCCTAAAAGCCCAATCAATTACCAGATTATTCTAATTTAGCCCACGGACAGCTGTCGGCCAAGATTGGGTGTCAAGGCATCCCTTGGTGTAAAGCCGCCTTGCCTTGTTACTTCGACTGCTAAAGCCTTGTTACTCTTTGTCCAATCTGTGCCCTTGGGTCCATTTGTAGTGCCCAGTGGCTTCCAGCCAGAACCTGACCCGTTTTATTTTGTCAGTTGAAAGGGAGTTTGTATGACTGTCCCTGTGCTGCTGAGTGTTGAAACCTTTACAGTGTTGAAATCTTTCCAGCAAGTGAGTTTCTTTTCATCCGATCCACCAGATACTCCGTGAGCACACACGCTGTTTGGCCAGGGCTTGTGCCTGAAGGCTTTGTGGAGGCCTCCGTTGTCCACTTGATTGATGCACATGGGACATGCCCATGAATCAAACACTCGGTAGAAAGTAACTTCAGGTCCAGAGTTTAGATGTTTACTCCTGTGCATGTAAGATGGTGGCAACTTATTAAACCGTTTTCTGAAAGGATGAGTTGAAGAATTTAAAACGTGACATTTATTGTACCAAGCACGGTCATTCTTTCCTTATGAGGCTGCATTGCCGCTGGAGCTTAAGTTTCACCTTTTTGTTACCCACAATAAAAATTGTGTTTTTCATAATATGATCTGCTGGCTGCCTGCAGGTTTTTGCCTTTGTTTAATTGTTTTTCAAACTGTGCTGAAGTTCTCCACTCAGATAGATGGCATCCTAGTAGGAGGTGTCTGTCAATCCTGCTTGGTTCCTAGGGCCTTGTCAGGAATTTGGCTGCGTTGCTGACAGCAGCAGAAGCTGAATCATCCGCCTCAAACATTTTCAGCCTGTTTCTCTTCTGCCAGCCACTCACTCACACATAGATTCAGGTGGGTAGTGTGCCTGCACACGAAAGCGTCTACCCAGAATTAAGCTGGGTTGGTCTGAAAGGTGCCCCCACTGGACTCAAGCTTTGTCCTGTTATTTACACAGAGTTCACATATGTATGGACATTGCTTGGCTGTCCTAGCTTAGCGGTACCTGATGTCTCAGAGCGGAATGTGCAAACTAGTGCCATTAAAAAAAAATTACTGCATCGTAGGCGATAAGATTCCTGTAAAGCCTCAGTCATACGCACAAGCCTCTTTCATGCTGAAAATGCGTGCGAACTACCCCAACGGGATATATACCACTAGCTGTATATCTCATGCTGAATTTGTTCAAGTACAGATCAAAAAATCCATACATGTGGGCCAGAATTAAAATCAGGAGGAGATATTTCTACAGCCAGGGAGGGTAGTCTCAGACTTATGGGGAAATCTTAAATTTTTTAAAAGGAGTAAAAGTTTTAAAATGCCAAGCTCTCACAAGACGTCCTCATGAGATTTCAGCAGCCATTTTGGTTTGCCTGCGTAACCCTGATTATCCAAAATGGCTGCTGCAGGTTCACTTTGACACTGAAGGTGAGTTGGGGAAAGGAGGCAAGACGAGAGAGGAGATGTGGGCGAGGAGAATGACTCAGGAAAGAGGGTTAGGGACTGGAGGGAGACCAGGAAGAAGGGAAAAGAGAAAACCCACCAGGAGAGGAAGGACTGGAGGGAAAGTGGCAGGTGATGGACTGAGGGAAGGAAGGAAGCAGGAGAAAACCTGCAGGAGGTGAGGAATTGGGTAAGTGGGGGTATGAGACTGATATTGAAAATCAATGTGTGAAGCAGCCCTAATTAGGCAATATGGACCATTATCCTGCCCGATTTGGCAACCTTCCTGAGGTATCTATTGAACAATATGTCTCTTGTAGAAAGGTACCTCTGAAGGAGAAGGCTCCAAACAAGGAAGTATGCATTTGTGTGGGCTGGAAAATGCACATGTTGCCGTCTTCACACCCAATGCAGTTGTTTACCAGGGGACTGGGCTTAGCAGGTTCTCCCATGGTGTGTGGTTGGAGCCCCAAACATGGTCATGAGCAGGGGTCATTTTGTAGAAAAAGAGGTGCAGGAGCTCATTAGCATAACTTATTTGCATATGCCACACCCCCTGACATCACCAGAAGTGTGTCAGAAGGCAACACCCACCGCTCAGGCTCCACTGGACTTTTGGATTGCTAGCTATGGGGGGCGGGGGGAGACGCACAGATCTGCTCTCACAGAGGAGGGAGAGCTTGTACCTGAATAAACCTTGGCCTTAAAGGTGCCACTG